AAGAATATTGTTCTTGAATTTGACAGAGAACCTGGTTATGTCAGGACCGTAAATGATTCGGCACAATTAAACAAAACTATAAAAATTTATCAAACCTGTACGCACATTCGCACAATTATATTTTTTACTTGTGTGTAAAAGCACGCCTTAAAATTTTCAATAATTATCGAGATACAAGGAGGTACACGTGAAAATGTCAGGACCAAAATTGTCAGGACTGTAAAAAACTAATTTTTTGTCGCAATAAATTAGGATTTCAAGGTTGTCAGTTGATAAATTGATAACTTCACTATTGACCGTTTTGTTTTTAAAGTTCAAAATAGAAATATGCAATTCGTAAAGTTAAAAATAATGAGGTCAATGAAAGAAATTTAGAATAAAAAGCAGAACAAATGAGGGAAGAAAGAAGGAAAAAAAGGGAAAAAGAAGCAGAATACAATTTGAAAAACTTGCATCAGAGAAGGAAATTATTAAGGTTATCTAGAAAAAATATTACAATTAAGATAAATTTAATTAAATGAATAAATAATAATTAAATTCACTAATTTTTATTAAAATATTTAAATTTGACCAATTTAATTTAAATTTAATATAACTCTAATAGAGAATATTAAAAAATAAATAATAAATATTATAAAAAAGTAAAGACAACCAAAATATTTAAATCCAAAACAATCGAAAACAATAGATTTTAACCTGTAAAAAATCGTCTTATTAAAAAAGAATAAAAATATATGAGACCTTCGAAATATTACATTTTTAACTGCATAAATAAATTCTAAATGCTAATTTTAATTTATATACAAATTTTTATTAATGTGCTAGTAAATTTTTTTTTTCAAGTCAAAAGTTAAAGGTTCCAGAGAATTGACCATATGCTTATATTTTTTCTAAAGGGTAAGAAACTTTTTTACTTTCTCTTTTTTATAAATTAAAATATAACCTTAAAATACATTACAATTACATTTTAAACAATTTTTTAATTTTTCTTTTTCAAATCATTTTATAATTTAATCCTTTTTGAAATCTTTTGTGCTTTGTCTTAATTTTGGATAATGTATTTGTGAAAATTATTCATCCCCTGATGAGGAACCATGTATCGTTCGAAACTAGTTGGGATTTCAAAATAAATGTTATCTAAACAAACCGTAAAATAGGCCTTTTCATTATCTTACAAATGAATATTTATTACGGTCAAACAAACAAAAATCCCTCTTAACTAAATATATTTCATTGACAAAAAAATTCCTTTGTTGGGTGGCTTTTTTCTCAAAGAATGATTTATAGGACACGTAATCAGTAAATCACATTATCAAATAAGGAGAATAAATAAAATGAATTTATAAAGGCTTGTAAATTTTTTTTATTAATTTCTAGAATAATTTTTTCAACTAAATTTTCTACAATAAATATAAGACAAGTTAGTTTTACGTTTATTTGTAACAGAATAGCAATTGATATGTACAATATTTATAAAGTTCACCTAAGTACTAATAATATATATATTTATTTATATTTATAATAATTTGTTTACATTTACATACACATGTATTATGATATATATATAGTAGATAAATAGATGAGTCCGACATTAAGATTAATTCCTAGGCAGTAAGCTTTCTGCCAGCAAATAAATGAATGCATAAAAGAATTGTCTATATGCCTGGGAATAAAGCTTAGTATCTAGCAGAAAACTAAATTTCGGATTCCACATTTAACTTAATCACATCAGGATGCAATTACACGTGAAGGTAAGATAATTTATTTAAAGTAATTATTTTTATTAATGTAGATTGCAAATTAAATTAAATATTATAGGGGAGACTGGGGTAAACCCGCTCACTTTTTTTCAGATAGGTAAAAATCTAGAAAATTATTCTCTAAATCCAAGTTAATTTATATCATTTGAAAGCTTATGATTTCTACTAAAAAAATAAAAAAGAGTTTTTAATTTATCTTTTTTAGTTTTACTTAGAGAAACTTTTTAATACACATATACCAAATTTCGAAATCACAATTTTCCAGGGTAAACCCGCTCACTTTATCTTTTCAAGACGGAACAGTTTTATTTTTTAAATATTAAAATTCGTCTTATTCCCGTCTTAAGTATGATTTATTATTGATAATTTATGAGTTATATAAACATTTCTATAAACAACAAATTGGTTTAATAAATAATGAACATAGATTTTATGAATTACAACTATGGATTTAAATAGTGTTATATTTTATTAAGAGAAAGTGAAATGTAGTTACAATTTTGGTTTTAATAAGTCATAAATTGTGTTATTGTTGAAATATAATACGCGAAATTATTTTATTCTAAATTTTAAATTAAAAACTAAGTGAGCGGGTTTACCCCAAGTTCACGTGAGCGACTTTACCCCGAGTGTATTCCTCACATTTCAGAATAAATTTAATTAAATCTTTTTGAAATAAGATAAAACTATACATGTACTTCGAAAAAGGACATCCAATAGCAACAAAAAAAAATTTGCCAAATAAATTAAGACTCAAAAATAATGATCGAAAAACTTAAAAATCCAAAAAACGTTTTTTTTCTGATACCTCTAAAAACATTTGATTGCCTCTGATTCTATGTTGAATTCATGAAACTAAACGAAAGTTCGTTAATATAAGTTGAATGGTAAGTACTATTCACAGTATCAATATCTCCATCTTAAGTTGAGTTCATCGCGTTAAATCGCTGGTGAGCGGGTTTAACCTGTGCGCGGGTTTACCCCAGTCTCCCCTATGTTATTTTCTATGATTTTTGTGTGAAAGTCAAACTTAATTCAAAACAGAAAAACTTTTATTCACTGTATCTAAAGTGTAATTAATGAATAGTATCTACGTGTGATACGCAGTCGTTTACATCGTAGAAGTAATAGTTTCGATTACTCAAAATTTGATATCTTAAATTTTTGTGACATTAATAGGCTACTAAAGTATTGGGGGAGGAAAATATATGAATACTAATTATAAATTAATTTCTTTTTATGTTCATACGGACGAATCCGCATTGGACATTTATCTCATTGTCAGTGCCTAGGCAAATGAACAATTCTGTCAAACATTCGTTTATTTGCCGGCAGTATGCTTACTGCCGAGGAATTAAGCTTAATGCCGGATTTGTCAACCTACCTACGACATATATATATATATATATTTGAAATTATAATAATTATTAAATACTAAAAAAGGCAACTAGACAATAAAAGATTAGTCACACATGCAATTTTTTCGTAGCATGATAAATATTAAAGAAAGACGCATATATAACAGACAATAAAGAAACGAGACGTCATAAATAAAATTGTGCTCTTTGTAAATAGGTAATATTTTATCGTGTATTTTAATGAAAAAATACTGATTGCAGGATGAAAATAGTGCAAATGACTTGAATTTTAATTTATTTATAATTTTTTTTATCTTTTTGGCGTTTTGCTACGCAAACGACCTGGATATTCTAAAATAATTTTCACTTACAGAGTATCAAGGCACTGCGTAAGTTTCTAAAACTAATTTTAATTAATTATTAAAGTTCTACTATTTATACGTTTTTCGCACTGCGAAAAACCACCAATCGTACAATTCACGTTACCAAAAATAAATTGTCACATAATCTCTCTCGTCGCTTTCATTTTTCTCTGCAAATTCGAATTATATTTAAAAAACGCAGTTTCGATATAATTTAATATGAAAACAATTTCTTTTTCGAACTGTTCAAGACAATTTTATTTTAAATCTTTAGAGATTTAAGATTTTATTCAAAAAAGTGTTTATTCACAGTTTACAAATTTTTAAATTGTTTATTACTCTCATACTTCTCAAAACAAAGATTCTTTGCATTTGAATCATTAAACTTTTTTTATTGTCAAATCTTCAAAGATTTAATTTTTATCATACAATATTTTTTCAACGTTATATTTTCATTATCGTTGAGTTTTAAAAAAAATATTTTATTTTCGCAATTTTTACAATAGCGTGAACGTTAAATAATAAAATTGATATAAATTTTTTTTCTTTTCATAGAAACGTATAGGTACTGCCTTTTTTAATAAAATTTTTTAAAAATATTTTCAAACATCTTTCTTATTCAAAAATTGTCTTTCAGAAATTTTTTTTTAGTTTTAAAATAAATCAATTTTGAAATTTTTTAAAAATATGTTAAAATTAATTTTTAAAATAAGAACCAATATTGTAAATAATATTCAATAATAACTTAAATATTATTCTAAAAAAATAACTTTTGATAAAGAAAAGATATTTAAAAATATACTAGTTGTCAGTTTTTGAAGGTTTTATTTTTTAATTTCTTGTATATTGTGAATGTTGGTGTCGCTATACACTAGTACTGCTGCTTAAGTTTTTTAATTTGGTACTTTAATGGGTTTTCGGTGGTCCCGTTTTGTTCCATCTATATACGTATAAATTTGTATATATATCACCGAAAGAATTCGTCATTAGACTCTGCAAAATACATACTGGCAGTAAATTAGTAAGCGTCAATTGAAATTGGGACCGCTTGGAAAGAATTGTTTTACATATCGATATATTTCGGATTCGTCCTTTTAGGGTTCTTTAAAAATCGAGCAACAATTGATTCGATTTGTTGCTGGAAAGATTTGCTATTAAAGTCTGCAATTTAGTGGCAGTTAGAGAAACTCTTTGAAGTAGTATGAATGCCTTCTTTTTATTTTAATTGAATATTTTTCTCCTTTTTCAAGATTTAATTCCAATTTTATATTTTTCATTTTCTCCAAGTCTCTATAATATTTGATTTATATTCTTTTATCTCATTTGTAAATTTACATATTTTTTCTCACCTCCATCTTTTATTTTATATTTATTTTTTACAGCTTTTTATAATTTTTTTATTTATATAACTAATGACTATTTCCTTTATTTTCATGTTTTTCCACTCAATTTCAATTTTAATTGTCGTTTATTGTTATTACAATTTCATGAGTTTTTTTTATTATTTTCTTAATATTTAAATTCATTTTTATTCATTTTTACAAGACTCATTTTTAATTTATCTTTTTGACAAGATTTATAAATTTTAATTGAAGATCTCTTTCTTATAATTTTAAAATTAATTGTCAAATAAGAGCCAGTAACGTGAAGGATGTGAATGATTCTTCTCAATTTTGGGAAATTGAGATTTCTTCCTGAATTTGTTCTTTTCTTCTTTTTTCTTGTTGAAAAGACATTATCTGCTCAGGAGATAGAACCATTATAGTTATCACGTTACTGTCCGTTTTGTCAGACTGGATTTTGTGCATAACGGCACCAAGAATGCCCATTGTTATTAGGCTCTTGATAAAGTAATTCTCAGTCATCGAAGTCGTGCCGAAGTTTTATGTAGAGGCAGGTGCCAAGAACAATTCCAAAAACTTCAAGTACTGAAAGTCCTAATCCAACAGCTCCGAGAATGATAAGATGATCCTTTGTGGTTTCCAAAAATTTGTATATACATCCCTGAAACAATACGAAAAAAGAAATTCATTTATAATATATATATATATATATATATATATATATATATATATATATATATATATATATATATATATATATAAATGTTATTATATTAAATTAAATTTAAATATTAGGTACTACATTAATTAAATTATATTTTTTAAAGGAGATAAATATGACCACAGAAAAATTAATTATATTGGATAACAATATTTATAAACTTGATATACTTATGAAAATAAAATTTTCAATTAAATTTCTACTTATTTAGAAAATAAATACGTATGCAAAAAGTTATGAGAAAGTTAATCATATATATTTATATCTTAATTAAAAGAATATCAACTATTTAAGTTTATCAAATTTTTTTATAAATTTAATAGGTACCTACTCTTTGTTAAATCTAATTATAATTCATAATAACCTGAAAATGTATTTTTCATAATTATCATCATTGATAACATAAAATACAAATTTTAATTTTTTTCGAAACAAATAGTTTATGCAAATAATAGTTGACTAAATTTGATTTATACAGAGATTTAATATCATCAGTTTAACTTAAACTCTAAAATATTGTTCGTGATGTTGCATTTTTTTGTTTTATTTTTGAAAGGTGTAACGAATAGCTGCATAGTTTTTACTCAACTGTATATTGGATATTCGAAGGATGATCCCTTTTTCCACACAGGCTGCTGGGAGTTTTGCAACAGCTGTCTGGTACGAGGCTCTCATTCCTCTGAACCTCCTCATCTTTGTGCCATTCGCTTGCAAGCCAGTCTTCGAATCTCATGGCTCCGCAACATTTGAACTGGAAAACGTAAATTTTTATTCATTGCATTAACTTTCATTTAATTAAATCCTTTAATGAAACGAAATAAATTCCAGTGGAAGTTATTTACTGAATCAAATATTTAGAATTATTTCGAATTGTAGAATATTGTTTAGATTTGTTTAGATCTCCAATGTTAATTTTTTGGTCATTTTTCTCTTAAGATATAAAATAAATTAAGCTACTTTTTTGTGAATAACTCTAAAATATAATATGAAAAAGCTTTATGGTGTAAAAGTTTAAATATTTTAAAAATTATTAATTATAAAACACTTAAATTAAATTTAAACATATTAAAATTATCAATTGAGATAGTCATTCAAAGCTTCAAATTGTTTACTAATTTCAATGTGTTTTATAACAATTAATTTTTCAATTATCAAACCTTTTGCAGATCACTTTCCTGATTAGATTTTATACTTACTCACATCCCAGGTGAAACTGATTCGTACAAATTTTGTTTGGAATTCGTTCAAAATTAGTTCAAAAATCGGGTTAAATTCCGATAGGAATTTGTGTGTGGTTTTGGAACGTTTTTCGTGCGAATTCAAGGTGGAAAAAATGGACAAGTGCGAGTTGTACTCGCACTGCAATGGCGGGTTCCGTACACAAATATTAAAACAATACTTGCAACATTTATCGGTAATTGGTAGAATTAAAAAAACAATTAAAAAAATGTAGGGTCAATTGGGGTAAATGTAAACGGAATATCTATTTTTCACCAAAAACATTAGTTTTTTTTTTGTTAAAAGGTAAAACAGACGAATTTTTTTTGCATGAACTTGTTACTAGAGTTCCTTAGAAAAATTTTATGAGGTTCAAAAAAATATTGATGCACCTGAATCGCCTAAAACTGACTGTTTACATTTACCCCGAGATTTTGAAATTTTCCTAAAATTCGGGGTTAATGTAACCACCACTGTAGTTAAGCGAGGTTTAAGAAACAAGTTATTTCAAGTATACTACTGTTTTAAGGGATGGAAAAACTGATAAAAATTCTTCGTAGATGTATAGTAAATCAACCAGTTGACTGATAATGTATCATATAAATAAACAATCAACCATTACAAAACTAGTAATGTAAAAACTTGAATAACTTGAACAAATTTTAATAGATTTTCATTCAACTTTGTAAAAAGAAGTTTTTAAGGTTGCTGAATAAGAATCTAAAATCGAATTCTTAAATTCCAAAATGGTGGATCCAATATGGCGGATGAACCTAAAAATAATATTTTTAAAAATTGATCAAATTTGCTTGAATCTGGCTACTCGGGGGTTTTTGAGGTCGCTGAATACGAATTTGAAGTCAAATTTTAAATTTTTAAAATGGCGGATGAACCTAAAAATATTTTTAAAAATTGATCAAATTTTCAAAAAAAAAATTTTTTTTATCAAATTTTTTGTTTTTGTTTTAAAGAAGACCTAATTTCCTTTTCTATGTAATTTTACATTGCCAAGTTAATGAAATTGTGAAATAGAAGCAAATTTATTCAATTATTTTCTTTTAAAATGTAGTTCAAGTTCTGTTTACATTTACCCCGAGTTTTCGAATTCTCGGGGTAAATGTAAACACTTAATTATTTATTAACTAAATTGACGAAAATCAAAAGTCAAAGTCAATTTTTGTTAGGGCATTAATAAGGAAGAATTACATATTTTTGTTTGATTTTTAAATTTATTTTTATGCAAATGCGAGACAAAATACTGAAACACTAAAATTTTGATTTTCAATCTTTTTTGCATTAAAAAATAACTTACACTATGGCATTGCCAATTGTCAAAATAAAATATTGGCAATACTCAGAACATCTTGCAGGTGAGCTGAGGTAAAAATATTGACGTCGTACTTATTTTTTAATTTGTAAATTTAGCTGAAACATCTACTGTTTACATTTACCCCTTGTTTACATTTACCCCAAATAACCCGAGTCGAACTTTTAGACCTGCTTACCTCCTGGTAAGTATAATTTAACCCTAACCTGCACCTAACAAACCCTTGGTGTTTTTTTCCTCCTGCGTAAGTTCTATTTAACTCTGACAACTCCTTTTTAAGTCATAATTGAACCTTAAACCCTGTATTGCTTCTACCACATTCTTACACAATAGGAAATGTTACGCGCGGTACAAGATATTCAACTTATTATTGTTTTGCAAATTACAAAATTTTTTATTTTGAAAATTTCACGAAAGAATTCAATTATTTTCTAAAATTTTAATAAATCCTTCGAAAAAATTCAATTATTTTTATAAATAGTAAAATTCTTCCGAAGAATTCAATTAATTTTATAAATAGTAAAATTCTTTGCAGGAATTCAATTATTTTCAAAACAATTTTAATTGAATTCCTTAGATGAATTCAAATATTTTAAAATATTTTCATAAATTGCAATTATTTTCTTAAACTTTAATAAATTCTTCGAAATAATTCAACTATTTTTATAAATACTAAAACTCTTTGCAAGAATTAAATAATTATTAACCCAATTAAAATAAAATTAAACGAAAGAATTTAATTATTTTCAAAAATTCCCATAAAATTTAGTTTCAACAAGAATTTAAAATTTTTGAAAAACAATTTAATTATTCTCAAAATATTTAAAAAAAATTCTATATAAGAATTAAATTACTAGCTCAATACAATTTTTGAATATATTCGTCAAAAGAATTGAAATAATTCTATTATTTTCGAAAAGTAATTAAAATTCTTATGATGAATTCAATTATTTTGAATATACTTAATTTTAATAAAATTCTTTAAAGAAATTCAATTATTTTCAAAACAACTTTAATTGAATTTTTCGAAAAAATTTCATGATTTTTAAATATTTCTATAAAATTCTTCATAAACAATTTAATTATTTCTTAAAATTTTAATAAATTCTTCGCAAGAAATCACTTATTTTCAATACAATTTTAATAAAATTCTTCTTCATAAAATTCAATTGCTTTCGAAATTTTCAATTAAAATTATTAAAGAAACTCCATTAGTTTAAAAAAAAAATTCAAAGAAATTTTTCAAAAAAATTTAATTAGGATTTTTAAAAATATTAATAAAATTCTTTGCGAGAATTTAGTTATTTTTCTACATAAAGAAATTCTTTGAAGGAATATTCTATTATTATCAAATTTTTTGATAAAATTCTTTGCAACAATTCGAAGATTTTCAATACATTAATTTTAAAACTGAAAATATTTGAAAAGAAAAATTAAAAAAAGATTAAGAAACCAAAATGTAAACAACAATTAACTTCAAACTGCGAATAGGTTACCGAAACATGTACTTTTTTATTATTAATTTATAAATATTATTTTTAACTGAAATGTTTTGACATTTTTTTTAAATAATAAAAATATTAATTTATGAATGTTTAATGGTCATTATTATTAAACAATTTATTTATTTGCTGTAGTGTATTAGTGTCAATTAATGCTTTATTCCCAGTGAGAAATTGCCAATAGACTTTAATCGGTCCAATATCGGTCCAATATTGGTTGCCGTGCTGGGCGCCGATTGACTCCCAATATTGGACCAATATGGGCTGATGCTTGGGATGTAACGGCATCGCCAATCATCGGTTGTCAATATTGGTCCAATATTGGCCGAATATTGGCAACCAAGAGAAAAAAATTTTTTTAAATAAATTTTTTTTAATTAAATAATAATAATAAAAAATTAATGTTTATAATTTTTGTTTAATATATTTATTTGTTTAATTATTTATTTTTAATAATTCATGTAAATAATAAATAATTTATTATTTATAAATTATAATTATTTAAAAATGCAGCAGCTATTAGAAAATAGCATTCTGCAAAAAAATTCTATCATTGAAAAATCAATGATAGGCGAGAGAAATCCGCGTCTTTAAATAGATTCGCAGATGATAGACAAGAGATATCCGCGTCATTAAACGGATTCGCAGATATACTCTGGTCTCGCGACGAATCTCTCGATACTTATATACACTGGAGTCGCCGTGTCAGTTGCGAGAACGGTTACAGCGTCCCTCTTTCGGCAGAGATAAGAATTGTCACGTAAACTGCGGGTATAATAAGGCGGTCGGTAAAGCGATTTCGCAGTTTACGTGACACTTCTTATCTCCGCCGAAAGAGGGACGCTGTAACCGTTCTCGCAACTGACACGGCGACTCCAGAGTATATAAGTATCGAGAGATTCGTCGCGAGACCAGAGTATATCTGCGAATCCGTTTAATGACGCGGATATCTCTTGTCTATCAGTATCATCTGCGAATCTATTTAAAGACGCGGATTTCTCTCGCCTATCATTGATTTTTCAATGATAGAATTTTTTTGCAGAATGCTATTTTCTAATAGCTGCTGCATTTTTAAATAATTATAATTTATAAATAATAAATTATTTATTATTTACATGAATTATTAAAAATAAATAATTAAACAAATAAATATATTAAACAAAAATTATAAACATTAATTTTTCATTATTATTATTTAATTAAAAAAAATTTATTTAAAAAAATTTTTTTCTCTTGGTTGCCAATATTCGGCCAATATTGGACCAATATTGACAACCGATGATTGGCGATGCCGTTACATCCCAAGCATCAGCCCATATTGGTCCAATATTGGGAGCCTTTATTGGACCGATGATCGGTCTCTTGGCTCCCAATATTGGACCGATATTGGACCGGTGAGAAATTTCTCACTGGGTTGAATCACTCAACAAGTCACTGAAAATAGAGCGTCTGTGTTCAGTTAGGTTCCGTAGCATAGTGGTTAGGGCGTTAGTTTCGTAGTCCGTAGTTCGTAGGTCGTAGGTTCAAGTCTCGCGTGCGTTAGATTTTATTTATTTCGTAGGTTTGCGTTTATTCCGATTTTTCTGTATTGTATAGGTATAAGTATGCAATTTAATGATTATATACACCGTTAAATAATTTAATTAACAAATATTAAATTAAAATTTTTTTTTATATATAAATGGATATGTATTAATCCCCACA